CCTCCTCTGTTTTGAATATTTATTGCTTCATGGTGGCTCCTGATATTTCTCTCCTCTTCCTCCTCCACCCATCCTTTCTATTCTTTCACTTTTGTTCCCTCTTTTCCTCCACATCTCCACTTGCCCCTTCTTTCATCTTCTCTTCCCCCTTTACTCCACCTGTACTTTCTCTCACCCTCTCCTCCTCCTCCTGCTCCTGCTCCTCCTCCTCCTCCTCCTCCTGCTCCTCCTCCTCCTCTTCCCTCTCTTTATTCCTTTCATCTCTTCCTCCACAAATACTGGGAGTAAAATGCACGAGTGCGATAGCAAAGTTTTCTGAGGGATTATTTCCTGGAGTTTTAATTTCTTCCTGTGTGTGTCAGGTGACTGACAGACGAACGTAACAAAGCTCCGATATGAAAACATTCGACTCAGCTTAGAGAAATCAGGAGGAAACAGAAAACGTTCTCGTGTTTATTTTGGATTATCCCCCTCTGTGGAAGCACTTTTTTCTCATACTCAACAAGAAAAACTGAAGAAGTAAAAACGTCTTCCTGTAAAAACTTCTGCCGGCAGACAGCCGACCCGTCGGCTCCGACTTCAGAGGATTATCCTTTAACCCCCTGAACTCTGATTCCACCTTAAATTTCTCCTTTGATAGGTTTGAAAGGTTCAAAGGCTGAAACAAAATCCTGCTTTATACGACAGCATCACATATTCTGTAGGGATTTATTACAGAACTTGAGTTAGGTGTGTTGCACTTTGAAACCTGAGCCAGAAAGCGTGCGGCAAATATAAATATGATGAATTAAATTATGGGTCATTAAATGCAGTGGCAGCTCGGCTTAACTTGATTCATTTAATGTCGCCCTCTAGTCAAGAATCAGTGTTTGTTCTTGTTCCTGCAGTGTGATGTCTGAATGATGGATGTGCAGAGTTTGACACTATAAGGATGTTCTTACGTTCATCTGCTGAAAGAAGAAAGTTATTCTGAGCTCATTGAACGCTGATTTTTATGGGCCGGGGCTTATGAATGTGATTTGTGACATCATAAATTGTTTGCAGGTCAAACATGATCCAGTATTTAGCTTGCACACTGAGAATGGACTTTACAGTGAAGGAGGAGACATCTTGTGTCCAGCAGGAAAACTTTAGAAAATGAACAAAATTAGCATATTCATAGATTCTGCAATTTTTAACGAGGTAGAAGGAGTAGATTACTTTTCATGGGTTTTAATGTGGAAATTAAACTTTTTTTGGTCTGGAAGGGATCTTTAATGACATCATTTGGATTAAGGGCCAACTAGCATATTGGTGTTATTCAGTATATAGAGATCTTTAGAGCTCTGTCAGTCAGAGATTTACTTCTCCCTTTTTAAAGGACCAGTGTGTAGGGTTTAGTGGCATCTAGCAGTGAAGTTGTGGTTGTGTGAAGGTGATTGTAACTAACTGAACATCACTCGAGAAAACCAAAACATATAAAAAAATCCACACTTGAACATCAACGTGATAAGAACTACATATCTGACAGAAACCATCTTGGGGGGAAATTAATATTTGGCGAGTACTTTTGATTTTTTTAGTCTGGCCCATCTGCTAACATGAAGGCAACAGGCTTTATGAGCTATACTGGAGTCAGTCACCAGAGGGTAATTGAGGTGTTTTGGCTTCACCTTTTGGTGTGTCAATAGTAGAAACATAGCATTTCCACATGGCGGACTCCATGTAAGGTAACCCACAGCTTCTGTAGATAAAAACGTCTCATTCTAAGGTAAAAACACAATGATTCCTATTTTCAGATGCTGATTATACACTAAAGAAAACATACTTACGAATATTTTATTCCATTTCTCCCAGTAGATCCTCCTCAATGTTACACACTGGACCTTTAACATCTCTGGTTTTATTAGAGCCTTTTAGAAAATGTTACAAATCATTGAGCAGGACACATTTATGGCAATATTGGATTTACTTGTTATTTTGAGACTCTTTGAGAGGCCTATATGGATCTGTGGAAAAGCTAAACCCGATGAATTCATTTTTCAAAAAGAGCTCAGATCCAGTCTGATATATATTCCCGAGGATGGTAACTGATCCAAAGAGACGAGTGTCATTGCACAAACAATGCTCTTTGTTTGTTTAATTTGGAGTTCTTGTTGGATTCAAAATATGGTCGACAACAGCACGTCGACACACGCAGAGAGAACAAGAACACTGGCAGCAGCGAGGTGCTCCACTGGAGCCGAAGAGAGCAACAGTACATTTTTT